TTCGTTCTTATTTTTTTTATGCTGTAGGGACCAATTTTTTTTTTTGAAGGAACGCCTTTTGCAGATTTAGTCGTGAATTAATCTTATTTTATTTAACATGTTCTGAATCTTTCATTGGATATTTTGCTGTTAATTTTTTGGGAAATTTATGCTTCACACAAATCTGTATGTTTACATATCTCACACCTGAACTTTTTCATATTTACATACATATCACTTTAGTGCTTTAAATCTATGCATGAAAAGGTGGATCTAACTTTTAAAATGTGTTCATGGTGCTAAATTTTTTGTTTTTGTGCAATTGTGTGCTATTTATGTAAATGCCCTTAATATTTTTTATAGGGTTTTGAATGTTCCCTTTGTTTATGATATTGGAGAGATTATGCTGCAAAAACCTCACATTCTAATTCTTAGTAGTATCAAAACTCCCAAGCTCTTTTCCTCTCATAAAGCATATCAGCTACAATAGGATATAGCCATTATTAATTGAGAATTATCTTTGTTTATCTTTTTTTGGATTAATTGGATTCCTCAACCGTTGTTGGTATATTATCTTTGTTTATCTTTTTTTCATATTTTATTCGCATCTGATTCCCAACATTCATGCACTCATCCCGATCCAAATCAGGTCCTTAGAGAAACCTAGAAAGCATTTAGCTGCCTCACCTTTATACAAGCAAAAATATTTACTGAGATTTTAACAGTTACTTCTGAACTAATTTTGCTTAAGCTCAAAATTTAAACAAAACAAATGATTTGAAAAGCTTAAAAGTCCAACTTTACAACACCATCAAAATTGTCCTGTGATCTTGTTCTTCATAGTGCGATTAAGGACTACATATTACAGAGTGGCATCAAACTAGAATGTTTAGGATGAACTATTGAACTGTATTACTAGACTAAATATTAATATTACACATATACCCCCGTTTATCCAACCAAAATTAACGAAGGCGATATTTATAGGTTATTTTGTTAGAAATATATAGAACAAACTACTCAGTCTGAGCATCCAAAAACCAGCTAAGGCTCCTCATCAAATTGCTCATTGTTGTTAATGGGAGGCTTGCTTTTGGCTTTTGTATGGTAGTCCTTAGCCATCATGTTGTAAACCTCAGCAACAGCATCCCTATCTTTCTCTGCCTTCATTTTCTGAAACTGATCAGTAGCTCCATGGGAAACTGATTGTGCCTCTTTTGTTCCAAACCTCCCACCACTGTGAGGAAAACTAGAATAGTTTACAGGCTTAGGACCTCTTGCTTCAGTTTTAAGCTGAGATTTTGTATCCTGATACAGAAATAAATTACAAGAATTGCTTGTAAGTTTTTCATATTATACTTGGTAATGAACAAAACTGTAGGGTCTAAGAAGACTGCACCTCTTTATTGTTGTTTGATGGCCTCAGTTGCTTGTTCTGAGATTTTTTTGCATTCCCTGCATCATTTCCCCTCATCAATCCTCATATTTTGTAAATTTCATCCAAAAATTAATACTTGAAAACGAAAAAAAAATAACATTTTACCAGAAAAAGAAAAAAAACTAGTTATCATTTCTAGATGGCTTTCTGACTTTTTAAACTATTAGAACCCAAATTAGAAGCACTTTGGCTGCATACTTCAGTAACCTCTCCTTCACGAGAAAATTTACCTCCGGACTCTAGATATCCGGACAACGGCCCGGATGAAGCAAGGAGGGCGGAGGTCCGATTCCTCCCCTCCTCCGCTGTATCCGGGCCGTTGTCTGGACATCCGGAGTACGAAAAAATGAAGGGGGGAAAAACTAATGCCACAAAGCCTTAGAAAAGAGCGGCGATTACCTCAGTTGTGCTTTGGTGGGTGAGTTTTTGGTGAATAGTAATCCGCATTGAATGGCATTTTACCAAACAATTTTACAATTCTAAAACCACTATTTCTACATTCAATCCTCAACTTCCCCTTCCCTTCATGAACTTGAACACATTTTCCAACAGAAGGATTTGCACCTGTTTTCCTGATTCTTCTGCTCTTCTCCTCTTCTTCCCCTTTCCACATCGCCCCCATCCTCCTTCCTCTGCTCCTCTCTCCTCCTCTGTACTCAGCCTCAACATAAAAAGTCTGCAAATTTTTAAAAATAAAACATTTATACTCTTATTATAACTCTAAAATATGCAAAAAAAAATAAAAAAAATTAAACCTTATCCCAATGAAAGGCTTCAGTGTCAACATTAATGAAGTCTTGAGCTGAACCTATGGAGTCTCTCAGAGCTAAAGAAGACAACAGCATCCAGAGGAGGAGGAAGCTTGTGAACTTGGCGCTCACCATGAGTTAAGTAACCTTTTTTATCAGCTCTTTTTTAAGCTAATTTCTGTAGCTAAAACCAGAGGGAGAGGGAGGGTTAGGGGGAAGAAGAGGGGGTTTATATGAAATTAAGTGATGGAATTCAAAGTTTAGCTGAAGTCAAAGCTGGTCTTCCAATGCCGACATCTTTTAATGCATCAAGGGAGCTCTTGCCCCACAACTGTCCTGCATCAATGTTTTCTAATTTTTATGTACTTCCAACTTATAAATTTGTCTGTTTATACATGAAGCTAAATGTGAATTGATTTGTTCTGTGTTCATTAAAAAGTAAATAAATTCCCTTTGGCTTGAGGATGATTAATTAATTAATCGAGTTTGTGCTCGAGCTCGAGTTAAGTCTACGAGTTCTAGCTGGTTTATTGTCGGTGTTGTTTATTTTAAAAGAAAAATAAAATTAATTTAAGCTATTGTTATTGTAAGATGATAAATACAGGCACGAGCACCTATAATATAGTTGATTTTTGTAAAAATAAATTGTTAAAAATGAATTTTCTTTACTTTAGAAGTTGACCAAAGTATATATTATAATATTTTGGTATTATAAATATATGCGTGAGAAAATTTTATTTCACATTTTAAAAGTTTATAATAATGACATTTTTTAGATGTATAAAGGTGTTCGGGTAAATATAACCTTTTTTATGTTAGATGTGTAAATATATTGAATCATTTTTAGAATGTAGGGTCCTTTGTGTTTGCAAATCCATGCAATTTGGGTGAGATTTCGTGAGATGAGTAAAAGAGCTGGAAAGCAGCGTAAAATTTCATGCTGTGTGTGTTATCTTCTGGTGATCACTGTCAGCGCTCCTATCCTTGTAGGATGTATTGTAGTATGTATCGTATGAGGCCTAAAAGGTGTATGGGTAAATATAACATTTTTTTTATGTTAGATATATAAATATATTGAATCATTTTAGAACGTAGGGTCTTTTGTGTTCGTAAATCCATGCAATTTGGGTGAGATTTCGTGAGACGAGTAAAAGAGGTGGAAAGCAGCGTAAATTTCATGCTGTGTTATCTTCTGGTGATCACTATCAGCGCTCCTATCCGTGTAGGATGTATTGTAGTATGTATCGTATGAGGCCTGTTGAGATATGTCATTAATGAGATTTCAATATCATCACGGGTGTCAGGCGACTCATACATGGGTATAGGCAGTGATATGTCAGTCTGCTTTGTTCTGTCGTGCAAACAAACTCGAAGAGTTGTTCACTAAAACTCGTCGGTATAGCTCTAAATTATCTACTCATTTCCACCTCCTTCACTCACCCCGTATGATTTCTTTTGAATTGTATGGATTCGTAAACTATATGGGACCCGACATCCTAAAAGAAATCAACATGAAAACAAATAAAAGTAAATATAACTACTACTTATCAAATAAAATAAAAAATAATATTTGATAAAATCCAAAGAATTTGAAATCTTATTTTTGCTTGTTACATAAAGCAATATTATCATTGTCATTTTAATTGGAAATTTACAATAATAAATAATTTAAATCAAATTTATTAAAATATCCTAATTAAATTTATTGGTACAAAAGCATGTTAAGAGGATGAGAACATAGCCGTACAGAGGTTTAGAGAATCAGTACTATTTAATTAAACTTTCATGCATGAAAAGAATTGAAGAATTACTATACTCATTAGCACATGCGCTAACATATTTAAAATATAGATGTGGCTTCCATGCATGCCACATAATTCTTACATATTTATATAGTTATTGCTTAAATATTTCATGTACATACATATCCTTGGGCAGAACGGGCATTAACTTTGAGAATGAAAAAAACCACCAAATCTCTAATTTTTTTAAATATAATAATATAATATATATCTAGGTGGAGTGGGAGTAGGGGTGTAAACGAGCCGAACAAGAGCGAGCCCAGTCTCTGCTTATGCTCGGCTCATTTATATTTTGAGCTCAAAAAGTGTGTTTGTGTTCGGCTCGCTTGCTTAGCGAGCCG